GGGCGGCGGCGGGGGTATCGGGGGAGCGGGGTTGGGGGAATTGCCAGAGGAGGACCTGGCGGCTGTGCAGGAGTTCATGGCGCAGAAGAGGTCGATTCTGGCGCAGCGGCTGGACTCGGACGAGGAGGAGGAGGGCGGCGGTGCCGCCGGCGCTGCGGGGCCGTCGGGGGCGGGGCTGCAGCAGCAGCAACAGCAGCAGCAGCAGGAGCCGGCGGCGCGGCCGCAGGCGGCGCGGGCGGCGGCTGCGGCGCGGCCGGGGCCGCTGGTGAAGGTGGTGGTCAAACCAAAGCGCAAGGCGGGGGCCGACGATGGGGCCGCCAAGCGCCAGAAGCAGCAGCAGGAGGAGGCGGAGGGCGATGAGGACAGCGGCGCCGGCGGCCTCGCCGGCCTCCTCGGCGACTACGGCAGTGGCAGCGGCAGCGGGAGCGGCGGGGGCAGCCCTTGAGTTGGGCTGCGGCTGTGTGCAGCTGACCTTGTACGGCGCATGTTGAGCATGTGGCGCGGCAGACGCCGCTGTGGGATGGGAATCGCCCGCCTGGAGGTTAACGACCAGCACGGCGACGCTGTTTGTTTTGGTGTCGCTGCAGTTTCGTGTTGCTGTCTGTTCTGGCGTTACCCGCAGGCCTGCTTGCCGCTGACTTCGTTGAATGCGTTTCTGAGATGGTGTTGTGCGGTTGGTTGCGGTGATACCAGCGCAGTGATGCGCCTGCTTGCTGCTTGTGTGCCTGCTGACCCGCCTGAGCCTGCCGTGCTGTGGCCATCTGTTGCTCTCCACCTATGCCTGTGTTGGGCCGTCCACAGCAGCGTCGCTGCTCAGCCGGCACCTGCAACGGTACCTTTCCAATCAGCCTGTAAGTTGCAAAACCAGTTGGCCTGTGAGTTGCAAAACCAAAAATGACTTGTATGCGCAGCCGACCCCGAACGCACACGCTTTGCATGCTGTGGCAACCGAGCGGTTGCCACAGGCTGCAGGTGCCACAAAAGTCAGATGAAAGCTGGAGCTACATCAGCAGTAAACGCGTTCCCTTATTAGTCTATTGAATCCTCGTGCACTGTGTTCAGCGCGCCACGAGTACGGTATCAGATCAAAACCAATCAGGTAGGCCGCTTGACCGCGAGTTGATGAGGTTGCGGCGGTTGTTCGATCTAAAAGCCTCTGGAGTGGTTTTATTGATATGTTATGCGATTGGGACAGCGAGTAGCCGCAGGCTGCAGCAGGTATCCAAGCTGACGCGTCGCCCTAGCTGCGGGAAGCAGCAGCGCGCCATGCAGACATAAAAATATAAATTAATTGCCCGAAAATTGGCTTCAGTGCAGCGGATTCCTCTTACGCCCCGTGTAAGGTACCTACTACCGCTCACCACTGCGGCCGGCAGGTTGGAGGCGTTGACCGCAGCCCCGCAGATGGCGAGAACAGTACGCCTGCCGGCGCTGCTAGCGCTGGCCCTGGTTGTGGCGGCAGCTTCCGCCCATGCTGCAGAGGTGGCGGCTGTTGCGACACCCACGGGTGAGTGAGCGGGTGCGTGACGTGCTCATAGCTGGCAAGGGCGCCTCCATGTACGAGGCACTGTGTCATATGCGTGCAGCTGGTGTCACGGGCTTCAACCTCCTGTTCAAGTTTCAAAAAACTATGGCCGGCCTGAAGATCCCACTGCCAACATCCCCTTTTCCACAGCCGCTGCCGCCCCTACTGCAGCTGGGGCTGCCCCTGCTGCTGCGGCGCCGGTCAAGCCTGAGGCTGCCCCCGCAGTGGCGCCCGCCGCCCCCGGTCCCGCCGCTGCCGCCAAGCCCAGCACAGAGGCAAAGCCTGCAGCCCCAGCTGCCGCGGCCCCTGCCGCCGCAGCCCCTGCCGCCGCGGCCCCCGCCACCGCGGCCCCCGCCGCCGCCGCCCCCGCCGCCGCTGCCCCTGCCAAGCTCGAGTCCGGCGCCGCCCCGGCCGCCGCACTCGCGCCCGCGCCCGCCGCCACGGCCGCCTCCTCCTCCCGCTGGGAAGCGATGCTTAAGAAGGTGGCGGGCATGCAGTCCGTGTGCAAGGCCATCACCGAGAAGTGGCGCTGCAACAGCGGCACGCAGCGCTGCCACTGGGACGACAACCAGGTGCGCGCCACGGCGCCCCCGTTGTGCGATGAAATCGGCCCGTTGGGAGGACGGGATCTGGCCCGACTTTTGCGCCATGACCTGGCGCGGCAAATGACGTATCAGAAGTCACGGTGGCTGCGTTGGGTCGTTGTCTGTCTCAGCCCCTGGCCAAGACGCGGCAGGCCGCACGGCACGCTGGCGCGTGACATGTGACGACTCCGTTGGTACCCGTGCCCTGGCTATTCAGAGCCCATGGTTCTGCAATTGACCTCTTGCCTGCCTCCTTGCCTCCTTTCCACGCCCGCCGCCCCGCCCACCCCTCGCCCTGC